GGGGTGTATTATCGATCTCTTACTGTCCACGATTTTTTTGTTGCTTCTTGTCGCCGAACAAATGTTGAAAACGTTACCAATCAATGCCACATCGAATGTGAAACTGCACGGAAATTGGAGATTAGGAAGGGAGGAAGTAAATGGAAACTGCTTGTTCAATCTGAAAGGCATGAACACGAAATGCACCAAAAATGACAACATGAAAATGTCCTTTTTTATATTGCTGTTTCTAAGGGCGGAATATTTTCATCTTTCAAAATAAAATCCAGATAGAAACAGATGTCTGCCTGCTAGATAGATAGATAGATAGATAGATAGATAGATAGATAGATAGATGGATAGATGGATAGATAGATAGATAGATAGATAGATAGATAGATAGATAGATAGATAGATAGATAGACGTCGGTAATTACAAGATAGTTTTTAATAGAAGTGAAGAACCTACCTGTTCTGTACAAGCAGCGTCTTAGCCGTTCACTTTCGAACAGACAAAAGTATTTTAGAAAACTGATTTCGCGTGTACCCCATCTTCAAGACAAAACAATTCGGTTCCAAACTACAACAGACTTTTCTGTTATTCAAAAGCATATTCCGATAACGATTAAAATTCGATTCACGAAGATTAGCTATCGAGACAGAGTTTGCATTATATCGTTTGCCGCGTCTAGAAATCGATACCATTAAATTGATGATTGATGTTCTGTAATTTGTGAAACCTGGTTCGGGGCATAATGTTGATATCGAGTTTGGACACATGGCCAAGCATTTTTTGAACCCCCTCAGATAAGGTCAAATGGAATCCTTTTTTAGCGTTACATGTGGCTGAAGACTGAGTTGATGATGGCTTCACAGCTATAATGTATCAAATATATTGTTTTTGTATTTATGAAGGATCAATGGTACTTGTATCCTGCTCTTTGGTTTGCTTTCTCTTGTTTCTTTTTCTATCTCTCTTTACTTTCTCTCCCTCGCCCTGTCGTTTTTTCCCCATCTTTCTTTCACTGCTAGCCCCAAATAAAAAAAGAAGACCAATTCCTCTCTCTTTCTCCCCGGTGTAGCGGTAAAGTCAGGCGTCTGGCCGTCTCGCTAAAGACTCGAGTTTGTTTGGCATGTGGTGAGAATCTTATGTTTTGTTTCAGTAAGGTTTTACGGCACTCGTTTCTGCATAAGGTCAGATGTGAGGCAACATGGTGGAATCAGGCTCTCGTCAAAATAATCAAAGTGAAGAAACTTGCATTAGTCAACAGGTTTGTGAATTTTTATCAAATTTGTGTTTTTTAGCTCAACACCTTTCATGCTCATTATAAAGCTCATTTCTGTGAGAATGTTTTTGAAAAACGTGTATTAACTGCTTTAAAAAATGTACATTTTCAGTTACCACGGACTCTTAAGATAAGGGAATAACCAATCTTTGGTGGCCATTTTCTCACTAATTTTACATCTGAAAACAGGTGACCAATACCTCCTTCATTCGCAAATATTTCGACCAGTATTCAAGATAAATGGATATTTTTTTCCCATCCAAATAAAGACAAGTGAACAAGCTTTAAGATGATACCAATAACTGTACATGTCCAAAGATTGACGAGAGCCTGATTCCACCACGCTGCCTCACTTATGAGCGCCAAGGGATGGATGTCAACAGAGAAGTTTCAAACGGGGGAATCAGGCTTACTCTGCTCACCTCTCTAGTCTCAACACCACAAAATCTTCTTCGACTATCAAGGCACCCCGGAAATAGCAGTTCACACGAGTGTGACAACATACAAAAGAAGTAGAGGAAAATGACGATAGCAAAAATGAAGAAAGAAAATGCAGAAGTTCTACCTATGTTGTTCCGGCACAGTATGAGCATGACATTCATAAATCAACCAATGTACAATTCTACTGAGCATTAAAACATGTTAATACCCCCCCCCCCTCCTTTGGGAATAGCCTAAAGACATCTTTGATCAATAGCACTGCCCGGGGAGGGGGGGGGGTAGAATCTTCTGGAGTCTCTCAGTCTGTCTGTTGGGACGTTGCATCCCTCTTAGCCCGGGCTGGCACTAGACAATCAGGGACACAGCCCGGGCTGGCACTAGACAATCAGGGACACAGCACGGGCTGGCACTAGACTATCAGGGACACATCCCGGGCTGGCATTAGACTATCAGGGACACAGCCCGGGCTGGCACTAGACTATCAGGGACACAGCATGCCTCCTACATAACCTCGAATGTCTCGATGGGGGCGTAAAACACCTGGATGAAAAAAGCATTGCTTCTCTCTCTTCGTGTTTGTCTGTGCGTCTTTGCACGTTTGTATTTTAGTTTTAGTAAATGTTTTACGGCACTTGCAACACAAAAAGGTCATATAAGTGCCGAAGATGAGAGGTGTCACAAGAGAGTAACAAACACAAAATAGAAGGAGGGAAGATAAAGACGATAGATGTTTGATAAAAAAGAAGGAGCAAACCACACCAGAGCACCCGCCAACCGCCCATGTGCGTGTGTCAAAAGTAGGTAACTCTTCCCCGAGAATGATAAGATGGTCATGCATTATGCACGCTCACACATATGGGCACCAGCGTGTGGTCTGCAGTGTACACTTCGGCCGCGGACAGATCAATAGATGATCAAGATAAAAGATCCTTAGCCATGATGTAGTGAACTCAATCACCTGGACCAAACACTGCTGAGCAAATCACCTGGACCAAACACTGCTGAGCAAAGCGCCTGGACCAAACACTGCTGAGCAAAGCGCGCGTGTAAAGGTCAATGTTTCTGAAAGATGGAAGATGAGTCGATCATTCTACATGATATTACATATGTGTTGTGTTTTATCATTGGCGTAAAGATGGAATGATGAGTCGATCATTTTAGAGGAAATTACACCGTGTTGTGTTTTATCATTGGCGTAAAGAACAGTTTCTAGCAGTGCATATGGTCTTTTTTAAATTAAGCACAACAGGGGTATCTGAAAAATGCTGTTTTGAGAAAATCGAAGGTAAAGTTTTTGCCCCTTGTTCAGTTTCTTTAAAAGACAAGGAGAGTTTTCTCTATAACCAAACAAATATACACACCAAGGAAACCAAACTTCTCCTATAGGTAGGGCAATGTCAACTTGTGGAGTATGTCAAAATTTCTGGAAACCCCAGAAATCTGAGTTAGCCCGCTTGTCCTTAAAAGCGACCGCATGTACTTGCGGCTAAGTGAGCCAGTTGGTGATTGCAGTGAGCAGTGAGGCTTCCCCGGCGAGTGACACGAGAGTTACTTTGTTGTGACCTTCTCGGAAGTATATGCGGGAGAGTAACTTGACTTTTACTGTTCCCCCTCTGTTGCCGTTCAGCGTGGAGGGGAGATTACAGATGCAGTTGGTACACAGACCCCCTTGTCCTCAAATCTCTTTGAACACGTCCACATACGTCACAGCACGTGACTCCTTGTGGTTTCCCCGTCGTAGCCATGTTGGCACATCTAAATGTCCGAGTGTGGGTGGTTGCTGGCTGCTCTGACGTGGGTCACTCCAAAATTCTGGAAACGACCAAAATCTGGGTTAGCCCACTTGTCTTTAAAATCGACTATTTGTCTTCCATATTTTCTCTGCACGTGACATCTTTTTCATGGAACAACACAGCTGCTCTTTGATGGCAGTCAATACTGTTGCCATTCTATTTACTCCAAAATCAATTTTTTACTTTTATTTTATCCGGTTGCCATTCTACGAGTATTTTCTCAAGAATCATTTTTATTTTACTTCAATTTTTATGTCAGAGAACTCAATTCCTTATCGCGTGGTCTCTGACAACCCAGACTTTGTTTCCAACAGTGTCTATGGCAACCTTTACCCACTTGACAGCCTAGCCCAGCACGAAATGTCAAAACTATCATCATCATCATCCCGTGCCTTTCCCTCATCATCATCCGGTGCCTTGCCGACTGGCGTGGGCGTTCATGGACCTCCATTTCCCTGTCTTGCGTTTCAGCGATGGTGTCTGTTGTTCTTGCTGCTCACAGCCATGTTGTCATCTTGTCCAGTATCTTTTCCCTCTGTCTGCCCCTGCCTCTAAAAACTAAAAACAAATGATATTACAGATAAAGTCGGCGGCGTCTCTGGAAGGCCGAGCTGTGACTTGTGGTGCCGATAATGCGGCGCTATCAGCCGCTCACCGCGGCCTCGTGTCAACAGACGGCTCTGTGGGGGGTCCATCGTGGGCTGGCTGTTTGCTCTGGGCGACACCTTTAATGCAGATGGTGGGTGGTTGGAGGGTGCTCTGGTGTTGTTTGCTCCTTCTTCCCTATCGTTCTTATCTCTCCTCCTTCTTTTTTGCAAATGTTACTCTCTTGTAACACATCTATTCTTCAGCACTTTTATGACCTTATTGTGTTGCAAATGCTGTAAAACACTTACTAAAACAAACTTTTCTGATTTCCGGAACCTCTTAAACCTCCTCATATATTATATGGGCAAAGTGTGACGATGTGAGCCGACCTTTAAAGCTCTGAGCCGCGTCAGATTGTGGTA